AACCTTTATTGCTCTTACCCGTGGATCGGGTCGTCCTCCCGGAGCTTTCGCCTCCCCTGCTCTGCTTTTCAGAGTGTGGAGCCGACCCCACCGCCTGCTCTGTTTCTGGGCCCTCAGGCCTTCAGCCTCCTCGAGCGTCTCACACGTTCCTTCAGTTCCTGTCTCAGTTTTGGGTTAATTGAATATGTTTGGAATTCCGTTTTACTTCATCTATTGGCTTTTTAGCTGTTCCTCTTTGCGTTTTTTACTAGTTGCTGCAGATTTCAGAATGCATTCAACTAAAAGTCTATTGTGAAAAGTTGAAATTGTATCACTTCACATAACATGTGAGAACCTTGTCATTGAGTAGATCCGTTCATCCACCTACTCTTCATGCTAAATGCATATTGTGCATTTTTCGTGTGCACATATTTTTACTTGCAGCCGTATACCTTCTATATGCATTATGTCTACATATTATAAAGAAATTAAGTGGAAAAACAGGGCTTTTGTTTTCCTTTTGATAGTTGCCATTTTTGTTCCTCTCCGTTCCTTCTTGAAGATCTGCATTTCTGTTGGGTGCCACCTCCCTTCAGCCTAAAGAACCTCTATTAGCATTTCTTGTGGTGCATGTTTGCCAGTGAGTTCTCATTGTTGCTGATCTGAAAATACCTTTGTTTCACCTGTTTTTTGTGAAGGATATTTTTGCTGAATATTGAATTCTGGATTGGCAGGGTTTTTTCCCCCATAGCACTTTAAATGTTTGTCTTACTGTTGCCTGCGTCCAGTATCTGCAATGAGAAATCGGTGTTAGTGTGACAGCTGTGCCCTGTATGTGGTGTGTCATTTTTCTCTAAGTGTTTTTGAGATGTTTCTTTATCTTTGGTTTTTTTATAGCAGTGTGACTTCAGTATTTTTCACTTTATTCATCTGTCCAGGGCTTTTCTGGGCCTCCTAAATCAACATTTATGCCTGTCAACTAACCTGACATATTTCATTCATTATTTCTTCAAGTAGGTTTTCTTCCCTGTTCTCCCTCTCTGCTTTTTCCAGGAGCCCAGTTACAATTACATATCCAGTCTCAAAATCTTTTTTCTGTGTCCTTCAAATCCATTACCTCTTGACCTGTTTTCAAGCTCACTGATTCTAGTCTGTCATCTCCCATCTGCTGTTAAGCCCAGCAGATATTGTATTTCAGATACTGTATTTTTTTCAATTCTGTAATTTCCATTTGTTTCTTTTTTCTTAAATATGTTTTCTTTTTCTATGTCATATTTTCCTATTTGTTCTTTGGGAGAATGTTTTCCTTTGAGTCTGAGATGTTATAATAACTGCTTTGAAATTCTCATCTCTTAATTCTGTGTCTGGCCATCTCGGAGTTAGTCATTATTGAATTATTTCTTAAATAAGGATCTTGAGTTCTTGTTTCTTCATATGTCTAGAAATTTGGATCGTATTTTCAAAATTATTAGTGACACATTGTGGAGACTGGATTCTGTTGGGTTCTTCTGAAACGTTGTGTTTTGTTTGGTTTTCACTGGTGTTAACTTGGCTGAAGTCAGACTCCGAAGTCCGTCTTTCCCGCAGCGGGTGCCGCTGAGGTCTGCAGTTCCTCAGCCGCTTGAAATCCGTGCTGTGCATGAGGACATTTGGGGTGAGAGTGAGCTCTCACAGCTCGGCCCCTCCCGAGGCTCTCCTTCCCGACCTCTCCATCTCCTCTCTCTCCCTCTCGCTCTCGCTCGCTCGTGCGGTGATGTCCCAGTCTCTGACCTCTTGTTCTTTGTCGGGAAGTCTATGATTTTCTAAGTTTTAGCAGTCATGCCCAAACCTTTTGCTCTGAGGCAAAAGCAACAAAACAGAAAACAAAAGCTGTAAAAATGGCACTCTGTGTTGGGGGACCCTCGAGAGCACCCCCAGTTTTGATGATTCCTAGGAGGGATCACAGGATTCAGCTGATAGCCTGCCCGTGGCCATGATTTCTCCCAGTGAAAGGTCAGAGCACAGGCAGCACTGGACACAGACAGGAGCCCCCACAGAGCCCTCCCAGGGACTGGCGCAGGCTGCCCGCGTCCCCCAGCTCAGGTGGGAACACAGTGTGAAGTGCTGCTCAGGGGGGACGCCCAGCAGAGGCTGCAGCGGGTTTTCCCTGGGGGCAGGTGTTTGGCGTAAACCAGGTTGTTTGAATAAACAGTTGAGGCGCAGTGAGCCTTTCTTACCAGGGAATGGTGGGACCCTCCTGAAATCCCCATATCCCCAGACCCCAGCCCGGGGCCAGCCTTCTTGCAAGCGGGCGTTCTCAGGCCTCGTGTGTTCACTTCTGCTCACAGGCCACTCCTGGGCCGAGGCATCTTTATAGCAGCAGTAGGAGCAGAACTATTGTTGCTCGGCCTCCCCGGCTGAGCGAGACCAGCCTGCACTGTTGGTGTCGGGATGCCCCTTAGGGCCCCGGCTGGAGCCAGGGAAAATAGCTCCCAGTCACCATCAGGTCCATCTGAGAAAACCCAGCTGTCCCCGTTGCATTTCAAGCTGTAATCGTGGGCAGGAGCTCGCACGGGCAGCCCGGAGTTTCCTCAGCGGGGGCTGTAGGGGGGTGGGCATGTGTACAAATGGGGAGGCAGAGACCACGGAGCCCCGTCCGTCTGTCCATCTGTCTGTCCATCTGCCCGCCCAGGGTTGGGCTTGTTTCCTCTGTTGTCACAGTGTCGTCACGAGCAATCCCAGCTCCCTGTCCTTTCAGTCACCTCTCCTCCATTTATCTTGGGAGTGGCCCCAAGCAGCCCTTGCCCTCTCAGGGACGGCAGCCCTGAGTACCACACCGCCTTTTTGAGGCCTGCGTGCGGCCGCAGGTGAGGGACGCGGGCCCAGGCTCAGCTGGTTGCGAGTGCCAACCACAAGGTGACAGCTGTGACGTACCCCTGAGACAGATGGGGCTGTGGAGGGGCCACCGTCCTTGTAATGGCCTCCCAGTTGCAGCTTTGGTGGCAGAGGGGGGGGGGTTTCGCAGGTTGGGGCTGATAGCGGCTCACCAGGGCACAAGCCCTTGATGGCAGGCAGCTCAGGTGACCCCGATGGCCCAGCTAGCATGCAGCTTTCATAGTTGATCCCTCTGAGGGGTCCGAATACAGCACCTGCCTCAGGTCCGAGGTGTCTCTGCAAGGCTGTCCCTGCACTCAGCTTGGCACGGCTCCTGGCAGATCGTGTCGGGTCCAGCACAGGGTCCAGGCCGTGCCCTGAGAGCCCTGCCTCAGGCGTGGCACCAGCCCCACGCCAAGCCGGAGAGCAGTGTGGATGGGAGCAGTCGTCATGTGCAGCTCTGGGGCTCCTGGGAGGACGGCGCGGGTCTCCTACCCCATTCAGAGGCGGGAGCCTGCGGGCTGCAGGCTGGTCTGTTGCCGGGCAGCCTTCAGCCCGCTGTGCGGTGGGCTTGCCTGAACTGCTGGTCTTCTGGGTGCTTAGTCTTCTCTCCTCGTTAATTCTGTTAGTCATCACCAGATTGTTCCGTGAGACCTGCATTCAGGTCTCAGACCTCCCTTAAATTTAGAAGCCTCTTTCTGACTGCAACAAGCATCTCGCGTGATTTTGGCACCTGTTGGTACCTGTGCTGGTGAGGTGGAGAGGGGGCCCGGTCCTCCTCGGGGGCAGCCGGGAAAGCAGACAGGAGAGGACAACGGCCACGAGGGTGCCACTGCCCCCACCCTGTGCGCGTGGCGCTGCGCGTGGGGCACAGAGTCTGTAACCCTTCGTATGTGGATGCTAAGTCATTATCTCATTCGAATATCAGCCCTTTGGTACAAGACAGATTTGTTTAATTTCTGTATTGTATCCCTAAGAACCAGTTAGGGATATTTTTTTAAAACAACTAAAATATCAATATTTAAAAGACTTTGAAAACGTTAGCCTAAGAAGCTCAAGTGTAAACAATCGCCATTTGTGGACATAATTCACCCAGTATTATTTGGGTCCAAGTGAGTCAGCTTGGCCCCTTTCCGTCCACTTTCTCATTTGCTGTCTGGTTACCCAAACCTGCAGTCACATTCCAGAACTCGGACAAGCTTCATCCCTGCACCCGGTGGGGTTTTGTCCACAATGTCAGATGTCAGCCGGTCACTGTGGATGCAAAGTCACTCTTTCCTGGGCTGTCTGGTGGGCGGCCCAGTGAAAACCCCATGTGGGATACGCTTTTGTCAGAGTCCAGGCAAGCAGGGACTTTCCAGTATGTACGTCCTCTGTGACCTCCTGATAAAAATGATCATGCACCACTAAAAAATGAAAGTTTATTATCAATACGTTGTTTGTTTAATGTAACTTCTATTATTTTAATAAAACTAACCTTTCTGGACCAGGGAGCAACTTTTATGATGATCTGAAAATTAGGTGCTTGAGGGTTCATCTGTGGAGACTTGCTGTTTAAACGTCACACATGGCCAGTGAGTGGGGCCACCCAAAGGGTGTGTCTTGTCTGCCTCAGAACTGCCCCTGGGAAGGTAGCGCCTGATGTGGGTAGTGACAGCCTTGTAAGTGCAGGTCACGGGGTGCACGGGTGACAGGCATTGTCTGTCTGCATGGCTTCAGGGGAGGCGACATCTAGAGTGAGCACAGTAGCTCCTGGAACAAAAACGTATGCAGAGCGAGGCATTTACCAGGTCGCGATGTAAGACTTCCACCCCACTGGCACTGAATTCTCTGCTACTCATCCAACTCTGATACTCACACGCAGCTCCACCTTTAAAACTGGAGTGGGGCCGCTTGCGCCGTGGGTAGTTATCAGTGTCTCCCAGGTGCTCGCGACACACACCTGTCATTAGGTAGCAGTGGTCTGAGGAATCGAGGAATCGCCACATCTCTGCTGAGCTGAAAATGATTTCTTTTAGTTCCGTCCTAATTCATAATGTCGGCACCCAAAGTATAGAAAATCAACTTCTTTTGGTAAATAATACATAAAAATGTTAATTGGTAACTGAGGAATTTTCGAGAACTGTTGTTTAATTGGAAGTAATTAATTTAGATGCTCTGTGTTCCAGGACCTCTTTTCGATCAGCGCTTATGTTCACGCTCAGAAGCCACAGCTGGACATCCACAGCTTTGAGGGCACGTTTACCAGGGTGAGTCCCGTCTTCTGTTAAATACAAGCGTGTTCATCGTGTATGTAAGTTAAAAACAGACCTTCCTTTTGAAAGAGGAATTAAATCAAGAATAAGTTGAAATAGAAATTTTGAACTAAAAAGGGAAAACCTAGAAAATGTTTCCAGTTCTTACATTTTCCTGGATCAGATATCTCCTTGGACACATTCAGTACGTCTTTTTCTGTTTTCTAGCATATTTACTCTTGAGAAGATCCTCGTCCTTTAGAATATTATGAGGCATTAAAATGAAGTGATTTAGCTATTTCAGGTTTGACTTTGGATATCTGTGATATCACATCATTTCTTGATTTTTAGTAATTGGTTAGATGGACGCATATGTGGGTGTCCATTTCCTTATATGCATGTGTGTATTTTATTCTGCACTCTTCTTTATTATGGTGTTTGGAACAGCTTGACGTCCCCTCTCCCACTGACTAGTTAATGGGACCTGGAGGACCAAGTAACGTCTGATTTTAACAGCTTATGCTGGCATTGTAAATGCTTTATGATGCTGAAGGGGTTTTAGTGTGTGACTGTAGTTTACTTTTAATGGCCACAGCTATTTTTTATAAGATTTCTGTTTGTTCCAGCCTTGGTCACACACACGGACTGGCGAGCAGTTGCCATCATTTCAGAAAGCATTCGCTGAGGTGGTGTCACGTGCCAGATACTGTGCCATCTGGGGGCGCAGAAACAAGGGCCCAGCAGCAACACGCCAGGTGTTCACGGAAACAGCAGGACCGGGTCCTGGCAATAGATGCTCTGTACCAAGTTCTGGAATGGCTAGGATCGATCGCTTTGCATTTTTGCAAAGATGTTTATGAAAAAAAAAGCATGTTCATATTAAAGAATTTAGCGTATGAGAGAAAAAGTCTTACCAAAAGGCACCCTGAGTGCAGTGAATTCCGAGTCACCGCCTTAACCACTGCTACTGTTTTGGAACATTATCTGCTTTCTTCCTATCTCACAGACTTCTGTTGCTTACCCCATGCTGACAGTTGGACATGTTTGCTGGACAACGTGTGGACGCTCATCAGTGTCAGAGTGAGAGCGAGTGAGGTGGCTGAGGAGCCCAAGGCCGCAAGGCGCAGGCCCCTGCGCATGTGCGACTGCGTCATCCCGGAGTGTGTGTGACTGTGTGCGGCCGAGCATGTGACTGATTCCACCCCTGAGCGTGGGACTGAGTGTGTGCGACTCGGGGGGACTGAGTCCGTGCCACTGAGCGTGCAGATGTCGGGGAAGGGATGGCTGACCTGATGATCTTGTCAAGGGAAGGAAACAGCCACTTACGGACTGTGAGCTTAGAAGAGAGATAATAGTACTGGTGTTTGTAAAAGATTTCTTTGCCTTCCCTGGTTCCCCTAGCATAAGGGCAGTCCCCTGAGTTTGTTCATGTCCCCAGTCTCCCCAGTCCCCCTACAGGCCAACTGTGAGAGTGATGGGACCACCTGTAGCCCATGCATGCAGCTGCCACATGAGGAAGAAAATGCTGCAAATGCCCGTTTTCCCTGAGGGGGGGGGGTCAGCTCCAGTGCAGAGGACAGGGGCGACCTGGGATCCTGGCTTCAGGGGCATTTTCGTTAATTTAAGAGACATTGCGTTTGTATGAATTGTGGCAGGTCATGTAATTCCAAATAGCGGCCTTTCATTGCCTTCGTTTTGTGTTTCTAACAAGGTCCTGTTTCACTCCTTTTAAATAGATCAGCCTTGAGTCCTGAATTATGTAGATGGTCAATCTTTATTTTTGTGTGCATTTTTCAAAAAGGAAGGAAGGAAGAAAGAAAGAAACATGCTAAGTAACTATTGGGTTGTTGGAAAAGTCATGACGTAATTTTTCTGTTTTTCTTTGCAAAAATACATCATGACTTTTCCGACAACCCGATAGTTTTGTAACTAGAAAATGGAATTCAGTTTAATTACCAAAATATCAACTGAACTTTCTAGAAGTGATGTCCGCTTCTGTTTTGTTTTGTTTTTTTACAGTGTACAGTGTGCAGAGGAGAAAGCACGTTTATTGTGTGTTGGTCTAGATGAGTAGCTGAGAATCAGAACAGTAATTCGGTAGCTGTACCTGTATTTTGTTGTCCTTGCAGAGTCTGACATACATATGCTCATTGTGGGTAATGTCTGCTTCACTTAACACCTTAAAACAGTGTCAGCGCAACATAATGTGCTGACCCTGTGACCTTTTGTGTTACATAAACGACTCGTGGTTATTGACGTTGCTCATTTCGCTTATTGTTCAAGGCATAGCTATTCTCTCTGAAGTTGGAGTTTAAAACTGGAGCTGGAGCCGGTTTTGAAATATTAGCAGTACTCATAGTCCTTTAACAAGATATTCACATTTCATCTTTTTTATAATTCATTTTCTGCTGTAATTTGTTTTGCAAACCATAGCACACTTATCACTGTTATGTCTTTTCCAGTCAAAATGCTCTCCTTTTCTAAAGCAATTCTCTATTGTTTGTTAAATAGGGTACACTATTGAGAGACAGCTTGAAATTGTAACATTTTGCATCTTCCCCAAAGCATATTTTATCTTTTCAAACTATATAACATTAAGGAGAAGGAAACCCAAAGAGAAAATAATTTAGAGATGATTTATTTCCCATCTTCCCATTCTTTATTCTGTACTATTGGGTCTTCGGAAAAGTCATGACGTATTTTGTCTGTTTTTCAAAGATCATTTATTTATATAAAGAACAAAGATCAATTAATGATATATTGCCCGTTTTGTTCGATAACCTTTCAGTGAGCTTCATAATTCCTCGTTCATAGAAGAACCTGTCTTTATTTGTGAAAAACTGAACAAGGTACTGATTTACAGCCTCATCTGAATTGAGCATTATACCATATGCAAGGAGTTTTGAAGAGAGCGAGACAAGTGGAAGTCTGATGGCGCAAGGTCAGGCGAGTATGGTGGGTGTGGCAACACGTCCCATCCAAGCTCCAATAATTTTTGAGGGTTAATTAAACTTGTGTGTGGTCTCACATTGTCGCGATGGAACACAACTCCTTTACAGTTAACAAGCTCTGGACGTTTCTCAATGATGGATTCATTCAAACTGCCCAATTGCTGACAGTACACATTCGAATTACACATTGGAATTGATTGGTTACTTGGTAGGAGCTCGAAAAATACGACACCTTTAAAATCCCACCACACTGAGAGCATAACCTTCCTCTGATGAGTGTCTGTTTTTGATGTCGTTTGAGGCAAATCATCACATCGGGATCAAGACCGTATGAACACCACATTGTTGTAAATAATCCACTTCTCATCACCAGTTATGAGTCGCTTCAAAAAAGGATCATTTTCCTCACGTTTAATGAGCATATTGCAGATGTTTATACGCGCCGTCAAATGAACTTCTTTGAGTGCATGCGGAACCCAAATATCGAGCTTGCTTACATATCCCAGCTTCTTCAGGTGGTCGTGAATGCTTGAGTGGTGGATGTTCAGTGTTTCTGCAATATCTCGTGTCGTGTAACTTGGGTTTGACTCAATCAGTGCCTTTATTTTGTCGTCATCAACCTCGGTGGGCCTCCCTGACCGAGGAGCGTCGTTGAGATCAAAATCACCAGCACGGAATTTCGTGAACCATCATTGGCACTGACGTTCTTGTAGGGCATTGTCACCGTAAACTTGATGCAACTTTTCACAAGCTTGACACGCATTCTTCCCTTTATGGATGTAAAACAATAAAATATGGCAAAAACGCACAGTTTGGTCTTCCATCTTCAACTTGTTGTAAAATCTCCAAAACTCAACCAAATTGCTCAATTTTTTTTTTAGAATGAAGCTAGAACTGTCAGAGCTGTCAAATGACATAACAATAACATAAATGCGAATGACTCTAGTACTTCCAAAAATGAACAAGTGCCATCTGTTGCAAACATGCATCATGACTTTTCTGAAGACCCAGCATATGAGATTATTAAAGAACATTTGTAATGATTTTCTCCATATAAGAAAAATGTTTAATGTTGAAAGTCTGGCATTGTTATTACAGAACTGAAAAGCGCTGCATCGTGTGTGTTTCTCAGCACACACCTGCGTTAGAAATAGACAGAAGCATTCACATTATTAAGTAGCTGTAGAAGAGTTGTGGGCGAACCAACTTAAATTTCTAAAACTAAATAATATAGAACAGCGGTTCTCAACCTGTGGGTCGTGACCCCTTTGGGGGTGTCAAACAACCCTTTCACAGGAGTCGCCTAAGACCATTGGAAAACATATATTTTCGATGGTCTTAGGAACCGAGACACCGCTCCTCTATCCGTCTCCATGCTTCAAAACAAAATTTCATTTATTTGTAATTAGAAATAAATATTTCACAATATATAATTGAATATTGTTTTTGTGATTAATCACTATGCTTTAATTATGTTCAATTTGTAACAATGAAAATACATCCTGCATATCAGATACTTACATTACGATTCATAACAGTAGCAAAATTACAGTTATAGAGTAGCAACGAAAATAATTTTATGGTTGAGGGTCACCACAACATGAGGAACTGTATTAAGGGGTCGAAGCATTAGGAAGGTTGAGACCCACTGGTATAGAGCCTTTTATTTGCAGTTCAGAAAGCCTTATAAAATTTTAATAATTTTTAATGCCCTTATTTCTCTTGGAGTTTGACACAATGTGAAAATACTAAGAGATATGCCTGTGTTAATAATTTTTAAATTTCCATATTAAGGAAACCATAGGAGCATTTTAAATTAATAAAATGGTACTCATTTGTGCTTCTGTGGTCAGTTGATGATGGGCGGCTGCAGGCGGGGGGGCTGAAAGGAGTGTGGCAGGATGGCGTGGCTGAGAGGGATGGCCGGCTGCCGACGTCTGTTGAGTGCAGTGGGAAGGGCCCCTGGAAATGAGAGACGGTCCCACGTCTGAGCCTTCACTTACTGGACACCCTGTGCCTGCGCAGGGCTAGGTGCTCTGAAGGTCAGGTCAGCACCAGTTACAT